CTGTTGAGAGTCTTTTCCATGGCGTCTGGCCTGACCCTGCTCCACGCGAGCTCCAATCCAGCGAGGTTCTGGAATGCGTGCCCTCTAGCTGTGATCACGGAAAGGGCGTTGGAGGAAGAAAGTAGACCATTTTTATGTCTCGTTATTGACGAAATCTGAAATTATTAGTCCCACCTGGTCCGTAAAGTGAGCCCTGTGTCAGATATTAACACGACGACTTAAACACATTGAATGCTGGGTCAGAGTCATGTGATTAGCGACAGGGTCTCCTTCGCCCAGACCAGATGCCACCCTCTGCCCTGCGTCATCGCGAGGACACTCAGCACTGGCCGGAGTCCCGTGGTGGTGTGTGACTGTTCGTGGGGTGATGAAGAGTTCACATCGGTCAACACTGGGGGGAACCTTGTCTCTCAGTGGTGACGTTAGCTCCCCACTGCCATGGTCGGCGACGTGACCTGTGGATTTCGTAAGAGGTGGGCAGAGCAGGCCTGCCCTTCCCTGCTGCCCTCTGTTCTCCAGAGACTGAGGCTGCGCCTCGTGTGCGCTCATCAAGACGGATGTCGCTGGTCTTGCGTTTACCTTAGGGCCGCTTGCGACGAGGTGGATGTTTAGTGAAGACGGATGTCATAGATGGGGAAGGCGCCTTTTAGTCCACAGTGAAGCAGGTCTTTACTGTTTTCCTGAGCAAGGCTGAGTGTTTGTGCAGTACCGTGCCTGGTAAAAATGTATCCCTGGCTAGAAGCAAGGGCATCTGATTCAGAGGAACGGCCTCGTGTCTGCGAGCTCCACAGCAGGTGAAACTGTATCACTCGGAGACAGTTATGTGGCTAAGACAGTAACTAGATGTTTGCTCGTTCAAGGTTTTTTAAGGGAATCTTTTAATGAACGGATAAAAATAAGCGTCCGGTTAGCAGATGAACTTTCCTTAAAGCTCGTTCTGATCTATTTTCATAGTATAATTTTTTTCAATCTGGCTATTCATTCCAAGTTTATTAATTTTACTCTCTGGACATTTACCATTTGAAAACCTAATATGTCAAAATGTAAACATTTCACCACTATATCCCAATATCAATTTTTTAGTAGTAGTTTTCTGGGGCAGTTTTTCTAAAGTTTTTTGATGTCATATCCGTATTAAAAAATTTGACAAATATACCCCTAAACTATGTATGTATGTGTGTCTGTGTGTGAGCGTGTATGTATTTAAAAGTTACATACGTGTGTCAGTACACTAACATATGATCAACATTATAAAAGCAAGCAGGAAAAGAGATGTTAATGAAACAGATTAAGATTAAAAATAATGCACTGTCTTGTCATTCACGATGATCATATTATCAATACTTTAAGGCAAACAGGAGCTTTGGGATAAATTTCATCATTGGGGACAATATTTTAAGTGGCTTTCTTTACTATTTCTAACATCTGGGTGACTTTTTCCAGATCCGATTAGATCGTCGTTATTCTTACCTTACAGCGCTGACGGGGAGTTTACAAGAAGGGTCAGGTCGATGCTGCCTTCTTCTCGTTTCCTGGCTTTGCGTTACCCCTACCTTTGATGTTTGGATTTCTCTGCAGTAATCTTTTGAGGCCACTAGTCCTCTTTGCAAGGGGCAGTTCTCCGTAGGACAGGGTGGAAAGTCACGAGAGCCCAGGCGTACCTGAAGGGTAGGATGTCACGATGCGCTGAGACTCGGGGACGAGGGCCTGGCTGTCTCAGGGCAAGTCCAGACGTTTTCCTCCGGCTCCTGGAGCATGGTCCTGTGTACCACCCTCAGACCACCGCCCTAGGAGGTCCACCCGACTTCTGTGGTAGTTTTTCAGTGCGATTGGATTTCCATAGGAAAATGCTCGTGTGTATCGTTGCACAGCCGCCGTGTTTGTCCCCACATCTGTCCATCAGAAAGGCAGGGAGACGTCTGTGGGCAGCAGTAAGGACCCTGCGTTTGGACTCTGAGTCCCAGCCCTGCCACTAACCGGCTGTGTGACAGTTGACTTACTTTCTAGAAGCGTTGTCATCTGCAACCTCACACTGTGGTGGTGAGGATGAACGGTCAAAGGGTAGGTTGGCACAGGACCTTGTGCCTTGTCATTTACAGTCACCCATGACGGATAACGCCCTGTGTGAGTCACAGCGGAACGTTTCTCCTAGGTTTTGTGTATATCCTTTCTCAGCAACGTGTTCTGTTGTCTTCACTCCTAGACTGCCTCTTCAAGCTATGTCCCATGAACCGCTACTCTGCCCAGAAGCAGTTCTGGAAAGCCGCTAAGCCGGGGGCCAACAGCACGACAGATGCGGTGCTGCTCAACAAACTGCACGTGAGTACCGCTCGTGGGCAGCCACCGGTGCACGTCCGGGTGTGCTGGGTGGGGGGCCCGTGCCAAGGGCTTGCGGGCAGCCCCCGGTGCGCGTCCGGGAGTGCTGGGTGGGGACGATCCGTTCTGCAGCCCTCCCACTCTGGGCGCCAGCTCCCTTATGTCCTTTAATGAAGGATGAAAGGGAGCTGTCCCCAAGGAGAGGCGGGTCATAGTCAGCACTCAGGAGCTCCAGGCGCGGTGAAGAGACCTGGTTCCTCCCCTCAGTGAGCTCATTGTCCGGTGTGAGGACGCATGAGCTGTCACTCCCATGGCACTTGAAACGCAGTGCGGACTCCGCGCCTGCCGAGCGCAGCTTTCCCCACTGGGGGTTCTGAGCTGCGCTCACCCCGCACCAGCCGCGCTGGCTTTACCGCATTTCATCTCATTTTTTGAGCACCACAAAAAACTGCAGAACGTTCGAACAGTCTTCTCCTGGCTCCTCGTAAGCCAAGACTGTCGCCTCCTTTGTGTCTCTGGTCACGTGCCATCTCAGCGAGGCCTTTCTCGACCGCCTTATCCACACGACGGTCTGCCTCTTCCGTCACAGGCCGTTTACCGCTTCCTCAGCACTGAGCACAGCCTGCCCTTGTGTTAGGATGACAGCTCCGTCAGGTGAGGGGCAGTGTCTGTCTTGTTCCCCACTGTATCCCAATGCCATTTAATAGTGTCTGGCACATAGTAGGGGCTCAGGAAATACTTGCTGAGTGAGCACTGTGCTAGGCAACGTGGCCACCGTCAGTTTCTTAACCTTCTGGGAGCTTGGTGGCCAATAACGAAGAGTCAAGAGGTGGTGACAAGCCAGTGTGGCAAGTGCTGTTGCAGGGTTAATCACCAAGGTGGTGGGAGCACCTGGAAGGGGCACACAGATCCATCTGTGTGAGTAAGGGTGGGCGATATGGTGGTCAGGGAGGGCTTCCTGGAGGAAGAGGACGTGCTGAGTACGCCCGGAGGAGGAGGCATCTGTGGGAGTCGGGATAAGGGAGGAAGAAACAATGGAGACAAAGAGGCTGCTTTGACGACGTCAGGAATCGCTTCATTATTTTAATGGTTTCGGGGCAGACGCTCTCGAGCTCAGCAAGCCCAGTGCTGCCTCGTAATAGCAACTGCTACGCAGCTGCACAAACAGGAAATAACATTCACAAATAATGAAACCTCTCGAGACACCACAGTTGAGAAAACGACTTATCAAGGAGAAACAGAAGTAATACATTCTATAGCTGTGTTCTTGGCTAAGTTGCCGCTCAGGCGTGAGCACCGTGGAGGGCACAGGAACCGCGTGCTGGGACCTGTTTGTGCCAGCCCCGCAGACGGGGCCGCGAAGGCTGTGACCGATGCAGGGTTATGGAACAGGGGACCCAAAAGCCTGTTTCTCTAACGTGTTTCTCCAGAATGGTCAGCAGTACACCGGTTGTTAAGCAGCACGTGCACTTTCGGAAAATGTGTCAGTAGCAGTGTGAGCTGCACCTGCAAGACTGTGCCGTATGTTGCTGTGTCATGGGGGGGTGAGGGCTTCGGCTCGGAACCCGTGGACAGCTTCTCAGCCCACGCGCGTGTCCAAGCGGACAGAAGACGTACAGGGCAGCGGTGTTCCGTCCTCGGTCAGGGCGTCGGCCATCCCTGGCTCCTGTCCCCTGTGAATCAGCAGTGCCTCCTCCTCTGCCGGTCACTGTGACGATTGGAATCACCCTGAAGTCTGTGCTGGGAGCCTGTGAACATAGTGAACATAGCGGAGTGGCCAGTGCAGGCTGCTCCGGCCTGCGGGCCTCTTGGTGATGGGGAGTGGGGGGCGGGGCTATGTAGCGCCTGTGCCTGCGAGGCCACCTTGGTGGCAGGAGCCGTCTGTAGTCCTGCCTTTCCTTTTCTGGCCTGAAAATCTTTCTGTTCGAGGAGATCTTATTAGAGGATCTCAAACCCTTCCTCCCGCTATGTTTTTACAGCAGGGGTTGTTCATTCAGATTCCTCTCGGCCAAGCGGGAAGCCAGCAGGAATTTTTTGGCGGGCCGGGCTGCTGCGTGGGATGTGCCTACATGCCCCGGAAGGGGCCGTTCCAGCCCCCGCCGCTGCTGCGTGGGCAGGTGGGCCACAGACTGCTGCCAGGAGAAGCTGAAAATCCATGCTGACGTATAGTACCTCAGTTTTTTAATTGAATTAAAACTTAAAACACACAGTGGACAGCAGCACAGGAATGGCTCGGGTCGGGTGGCGTTCCTTCGCCGCCCGATTGCCAGCGGCCGCGTGCGTTATGTTTCATCCGCTGTTCTCGTTGCTCCTTCCCCGAGTGAGCCGTGACGAAGCTGCACGGTCGAAAGAGGCGGCCCTAAAGGTGTCCAAGAACTTCGAACTCTTATCAAAAAAATTAAAAGGCAACTCTCTTTTTTTTTTTTTTTTACGCAGTTTGTGATTTAAAAAATATTCTTGTTTTCGGGCAGTCCCTTATTCTGATGTAGATGGCCAGAGCGACTTCGGGTCTTGGGTATTGCATCTCTGTGATTCTGATTTTCCTGTTCATTTGGACCTTTTTCCTCTAGTGTCTGAAAGTTATCGACATGCTTTAATGCTGTCATTAAAATGTGGTATTTCAGGCAGCTGCTTGCCTTGGGGGCGGATGGCCAGTCCCCAGTGGGTTTTCATTTTTATTTTTGTCAATTCCTGTGCAGGACCCCAGTCAAAGGTCAGATTATTTTAAATTAATGCCATTTAAGGAATTCGTCGCCTAGACCACTTGACTTCCTCTTGACTAGGATGCGTGACATATAAACGCTGCTCTGAAGGAGAGTGCCATCTAGTGGCTGGTTACTGCGTGCGTCTGTTCCCTCTGCTAGAGTGAGTCTCTGCTGCCTTCCGAAGCCTGGGTCCGGCATTGCTTGGTTTCAGAAGCTTCACTTCGGTATCCCGTGTGATTTAGAGCTCGTCGACCTTAGGTGAATAACCTTTCCCCATCGTTCCAGTGACCTTTCTGTAGCAATTTAATAGTGGCTTCTCTGTTTCCGAAATACGATAACAGGTGACTAGGATGGGGTTGGCCTCGATGTTGCTTAGGGAGCACGGTGACGTCTGTGACTGGTCGCGACCACAGCGCAGAGCGCGATTTCCTCCGTAGAAATTAAAAAACAGCCCTCCAGCCACTGTGCCAGGGGAAGAGTGGACAGATATACACGTCCTGTGACTTTAATCAGCCGGCCCCGGTGGCGGGGGGCAGTGTGCAAGAGCCTGACAGTTTTTACCATTCTGAAAAACGTGTCATGGCCTTGTACACGTGACCGATTATCTCCTTAGGAGAATCTCCTAGAAATGGGATTGCTACGTCAAAGTTACACTCACCGAAAACGTCTTGGCGGCTGCTGCCAGATCACCTTCGAGGAAATCATACTGGTCGGCGGTCTTAGAGTGTGAGCCTCTCAGTGCTTACGGGGCTTCACACCCCACATCCTGTCCTTTTCAGGGGCGGACGCAGCTTCGATCGGTGGGCCCAGGTATACGTCAGACCTTATTCCCTTCTCGTCTACCTTTAGTCTCACCTGTTAAACCTGAAAATCAGGATGGACGTTTCTGTTTAACGGCCGGGTTGGACAGTGCCGTATGTCAGTTATATCTCAATGAAACTGGAGATAAAAACCCAAATTTGGTTTTTCTGGAGGGAGTTATCTAAGGATTGATGTGTGAACTCAAATGAACGTACATATAGTGTTTGCACTAATAGAAGGTGAGATGATTTGGATAGTTTTCTCCTTAAACAAAGAGAGCTCGTGGGAAAAGTGAATTCTTAGAATGATTTGTAAGCTCAGTGCATTGAACGGTCATTCAGAAGTTATGTGGAGGCTTGGTCATTATTGAACCTTGTGACAGTTTCAGATGTGTTTGATATTAGAAGTTCGTGGAGATTTTTCCTCCAATTTTGTTGTATTTTTTGTTCTAATTTTTACTTCTATGTTTTTGGACAAATGCTGCTAGGTTTACTTAGTCTTCTATACAGAGTATATGGCTTCTCCATAACTAATTTGGCTTTTTTTTAGATACTGTTACAGAGTTGCCACTTTTGTACTTAGTCTAAGCTAGGTAGGAACTTAATGTTTTAGATTAACTTGACTTACACTCAGGCCACTGGCAATTCTCGAGAGTAAGAGGAAGGTCCGCGGGACTTTTCTCCCTGAAACAAGGGCCCCGATGTCATTTAAGTGTGAGAAACGCTACTTCATGATTCCTTGCCGTGAATTCTTTCAGTGTGATGTTTTGAGCACAGAAAAAAATTTTACTGGTGTGTTGGAAAACGTTGTTTTATTTCACTGAATCTATTGATTTTTACCCCCCTTCTACATGGTTTTCCTGGAATTTCTATATTAGCCGAGAACTGCTCAGCAGGACAGCTGGCTGTCTACAAAGTATCGCCCTTTCTTCTGCTGGATTTCAGTCCGAGGCCTTGGTTGGAGCACTACTGCAGGGTGCTGGAGAGAGGGGTCTCTGGACGGGGCGAGGCACAGGCTTGGAAACGGGCGGAGCTGGGAGGCAGGTAAGGGCGGGTGTTTATGGAGAGGGGACCGTGCCTGGATGCTGGGGATTGCCAAGGTCCACCCTGGTGTTACTTCTGCATGTGTCTTGAGCCCAGTGGACTTCACCGTTTTGTAGCTGAGAGTCACAGACTAGTAAGCGATTCCACAAGAGAGCGGTAGCCTCCCACCGGGCGCGGATGCGGCAGACCCGCGGTGGCCTCCTCCAACGCACCCTCCGCCTCCTGCAGCGTGGCCTCTTCGTGGCTTAGGATTGCGTCCTGAGCTCATTTTCTCCGATGGTCTGCCTTCCTAACAATACCTCTATTCCAGGCAGAGGTAGAGCAGATGCTGAATTTGAAGGAGCTGAAAGTGTCTTCACCCAGCCACTTTAGTCCAGCTTTTTAACTTTTCGTCCTGAGAGCATTTCTTCGTTTTAGAGACTCGTGTATAATAATGGTTAAACTTTACTGAATGCTTCTCGTACGTCCGGCACGTGTTTTCTCTGATCTTTGCAATAGCCCTAAGAGGTTGCACTTCCCCATTTTGTGGTTGAGAACACTGAGTGAGGCTTGAGGTTCAGCGACCCGGCCAAGCTGAAAAAGCCAGCCTGTGGCGGAGCCGGGAGCAAGTCCGGAAGGGTCCTGAGCGACTGCAGACAGGTGACCTGGGAAGGAGGCCCGCTGACCCACACCTAGTAGCATCTCGCCTCAAGGACGAGCATGCAGGAAGCTGTTCCAAAGTACAAGTGGTCATCAGGCTTTCGTGGCCCATCGGATCAGAGCTGCGTGTCTTCTCTGCTGTTCTGTTTCTGCTCCAGTGAGGAGCCGGGGCCCGGGATGAAGCCAGCACCCCGCGAGCCTCGTGACCACAAGCTGCCAGTGCTTTCAGAGTCGCATGGGGAGACGGACGAAGAATGGCCGCTCAGCTCGAAAACCCATATCCGAAAAGAGATGTGCACACTGATGTTCACAGCAGCATCATTCACGGTGGCCAGGGCATGGAAGCAACCGGAGTGCCCTGTGATAGATGATTGAATAAGAAGCCGTGGTCCATATATATGATAGAATATATCATATATCAGTCACGAGGAGAGATGAAATACTGCCATTTGCGACAACGTAGATGGACCTTGAGATAATCCTGCTAAGCGAAATAAGCCAGACAGAAAAGTTAAAAATCCCATGATACCGCTTATCTGTGGGATATAAACCTAAAAGCAGCAAATGAACAGGACAAACAGGGCTCATGGACATGGACAATAGACTAGGGTAGAGGGTGGGGGAGGCAAACAGGGTAAAGGGGGTTCAAATACGCGGTGACAGGAAGAAATCTAACTATGGGAGGTGAACACACTGCAAATATATATATGCCTCACTGTTCAAGGGTACAGCTGAAACTTATTGGATTTTGTTAACCAGTGTCACCATAAAAAAATTAATTAAATTTTTTTTTTTTAATTTAAAAAAGAAAAGAAAAATGGTTGTTCAGGTTGGCGGCCCTGGTAGGCTATGCAGCTTCATCATTTTCCCAACCTGCCACATTGGTCATCATAATACCTCCCATTCTCATTTGCAACTGTGTGAATCTGGAGTTAACCTACATGTGAGTTTAAGGATGGTCTCCGCTACTTCATAGGTGTGTGACTTAAAAAAAGACATTATTCGGCAAAATTTCAAATATACACAGAAGGAGAGAAGATATTATAATAAACCCCCTTTGTCCCCATCATCCCACCACCTATGCAGCATTGACCAAACTTTTTCATCTGAGTCTGTTGCTTTTTAAAATTGAGATAATCTTCCATTCAAGGGAGTACTGTGAAAATTAAATAAATGATAATTCCCATCCGGCAGTGATAATACCTCATTGCCACAGCGACGGGGCCCTGCGCCTGTGATTCTCACAGGGAACAGGTACTGTTTTCATCTCCGTTTTACAAAAGAGGAAATTGGGGCTCACTCCTGCTCAGCAACACAGTTCAGGTTGCAAAACCAGGCACCACCCAAAAACAGCCTTTCGATTCAGTTTCATTTGAACTCCAAAGCTTTTTTTTCTTTTTTTTTTCAAAGCTTTAAAAAAAAAGACTTTCATAAATCTGAAAAGGATTATGCAAATTCCCTTTCACCCCTACCCTATTTTCTTTAAAATACGTAAGCTTTTGATGTAAGCTAAGCTAACGCCAGAATGCTCATTAATTCCTTAAAGGAAAAAAAAAAAAACCTTTTCAAAAAAGCCAGAAAGGCCAAGAAAGCGACAGCAGAGTGGCTTGGATCCTCGGTCCTCTGCGTGTTGCACTGGGCCTCGGGGGCACTCAGGTATTTGCTGATTCCTGTGGCTCTCGCACGGCCTGGTGACACTGGCTTCGCTTCACTGCAGGGAAATAGAACCCGGAGTTTCCTCTGTCTGACCAACCTCCTTTCTCCACGCACAGCATGCTGCAGACTTGGAGAAGAAGCAGAACGAGACGGAAAACAGGAAGTTGCTGGGGACCGTCATCCAGTACGGCAACGTGATCCAGGTAGGTCAAGGCTGCTCTTGTCTCTGGAACTGGAGCAGCCCGGAGCACAAAACCGAAAAGACACACTCAACGCCGGTTCGGCCGGCTTTCCAGCGAGACTCCGTGGGGGACAGGGTCTCTTCCGCAAGGTCGAGTGTTCCTTCCCATGTGGGTGGCTCTCGGGCTTTCCAGGTGGTCCTCTCTCGGTGTGAGAATCCACTTCTGTCCCCCGCAGCTGATAATTTAAGATCCGTCCCTATCTAAGTGGGAAGCTTCCCACATGAGAAGGAGCCTGGCCGCCGCCACCGCCGCGTTTAACTCGCTTATCGTATCTGGTGGAAATCGGCTTCTCTGTCACCCAGATCTCTTGGTTCAAGAACCGGTCACCAGAGGCGATGGGAGACATTCTGTAGCTTCGGGTCGAGTGTTCGCTGCTGGGTCTCGTGTGGGCTCGTGGGTGGAGAGGTTCATGTGTTTGTCCCTTGTGCCTTTCAGTTTGACATGGAGTAAAACGCCAGCCGGGGGACAGGGCCGTGCGGTTCGCTCACGAAACCCGCCAGGGTCCGTCCTTGCGGGAGACGGTGTGTGAGCGAGTCCGGAGCCCCGTGTGGCCTCTCGGTTTGTCCGGGTTCCAGATTGTTTCGACCCAGGCACAGAGGGTCAGAGTAGTCACCAACTTTTGAGGACCTAACCTGTCTGGTTGTCTGGCTTCATTATTTTCCTTTTTGAAAGATTTTGCTGACTCAATAATACAAGTGTAAACTTTACTGATTCCGAACGAATTCCTCCCCATATTTGTCCCTTCTAAGTAGGGGACAGTGCTAACCAGGAACAGGGGAGAAGAGAATCCTGAATTGGTAAAAGCAAACTTTTATGTTTAAGGGTTATTCCTATTAGACTTTTAGGCCTGTTGACACAGTGAAAGCAGCTTTCAAAAGAAAGTTTGAAGATTTTGTCCCTTTCCGGTTCTGTCCAATCGAGAGTGGACACAAGGCCCAGGTGGGCTCCAGGTTCAGTGTCAGCTTTATTACTGGGCCAGGCCAGGGCCTTGGAACTCAGAGGACGAGAGGGCGCAGGGGCTGAGCACACGAGCCCTTAAGTGCGCCCCATGGGGTTCGGGGTTTGCGACTGAGGTCTCGCCACGCCTCGGTGTGCTCACCAGCAAATGGGGACAGTAGCGGTGTATCTGCTTCCTAGGGTGACTGGGGGCACCTGTCACAGCGTTGGCTCTGAACTCGTGTCAGCTAATAGCGCTTACTGTTACTTCTCCCAAGCCCGGATCTGGGGAGCCACCTCTAGGCAATGTGGGTTTGTAAACCATCCGAGTCCAGCACCTGGGCAGGTGGGTGGAGGATCAGGGGCCATTCACCTGCCACTCATCAGGGATGTCACAATGAGGGCTCAGGAGGGCCCCGCCTTCTCGTCTGTCACGGCCGGGGACGTCAGAGGCTCACGAGGCAGACAAGTGACTCCTCTATCCCCAACAGCCCTGGTAGAAGATTTGTGGGCCAGCCAGGACTGTTCTAGAAACTGCATCTGTTAACACGCAGAGGGGGACGTCGCGGGCGGCAGTGGGGTCCCAGGCTGGCCTCGCTGTCTCCGCAGGGTTGGCAGCCTTTCACCTTCCCTCCCGTCTTCGCTTAAAGTCCAGGGTGGAAATCCCTAGCAGCCATGTTCTCCCAAATGAAACGACTGTCCCCTCGCAGGGCCAGCTGTGAAATTGAACTGTTTCTTGTGCTGCACGGGGCCCTTCCCTAGCTCCCGCTCGGTGTGGGGCTCAGCACCGCAGGCTCTCGGCCCCTGCGCGCGGGGGCAGAGCTGTTCCTGGCCGGAGGCGCCCTTGCCCGGAGCACCTTCCACCTTCCAAGGCGGTGCTGGGGGGACACGAAGTATTTCTTCTTCGCTGCTCTTCCCTCTTTCCCAGGCACCCCTGCCGAGGGCACTTGTCAGCCCTGTAGCTTCGCGGCGAGCTCGGGGGCGGGAGCTCATTTCACCGTGACTCATGGCGCGTCCGACACGTACCTGCCATGACGGAGGGCGAGGCGGCAGCGACGCAGGGTCATGTCGCCGCTCACCTTGTCCTCGGTGCGTTTCCAGCTCCTGCATCTGAAGAGCAATAAGTACCTGACCGTGAATAAGAGGCTCCCGGCGCTGCTGGAGAAGAACGCCATGCGGGTGACGCTGGACGAGGCCGGCAACGAGGGCTCCTGGTTTTACATCCAGCCCTTCTACAAGCTGCGGTCCATCGGCGACAGCGTAAGCGCCACGCACGCCGGGGGGCCGGCCCGGGCCGGGCCGCGGCCGCCGTGTGTGTCACAGTCCCGTCGCGGGGTTTCAGAGTCGGAGCCAGAGGCTTATCCTGTCTGCAGAGAAGCGGGCAGTCGCCGTGGTAACCAGTGTTTGGGAAGCAGGGAAATCGGGAGAGGAGTGGGACTTAAATCCAGCATCTACGTTTCTCCCTCCGGGCTGCCGGGACCGTGGCTCGAGCGGCCCGTTACCTTGGTAACTTTACCCCGTCCTCCTGGATCGTTGGTGGAGCAGAAAAGCCTCTGTCATTCGGAGATAAAGCCAGTGACGGGGAGGACGGGGTCGGGCACGGCCGGGGAGGGGAGAGGACCGTGGGGTCAGCTTTGCTCGTCGTCGGCAGCTGCGGCCGGTCCAGAGCTGGCCCCGTCCTGAGGGGTCATTAAGGCATAAAGTCACAGGAAGCCTTTTCGCTGTGACTTGGAGCGGCTCTGATACTTGCAGGCTGCATCAGTCAGTCGTCACGTGGGCATATTCTTAATAGTGTTCAAATGCTGTTGCCTGTATTTCTGACCTGGCGAAGACTCTGAAATCGCTGTTTTTCATGAAAGAGGACATGCCTTAAACAGCAGAAAATCTTGTCAAAATGCTCAGCTAGACTTAAAACCTCAAACTAAACTTTGCCATTTTTCAGTATTGCCATTGAAGTTTACAAGCTTCAGGTGGTTGAAATACGTGTTCGTTGATGTGTTTGTGTGTGTATTATACACGGTACACCAGAAGCATCCAGCACGAGACTGTACCCCACCACCAGCTGGTGTTCAGTAAACACTGACCCTCTGAGAATAGAGTAACCAGTCCGGGAAAGCTGAGGTTCCACCAAAAGTGTTGGATTTTCAAGGTACTTAACATATTCATTTGGAGTTAGAGAAAATTTCATTGTACACACTCCCCAAAGGCATCGCACTGAAAATCGATGAACTGTACACCTCAGGAGCCAGCATTTCCATCCCCGGCTTCCCCCCGACTCCCCCCCGTCATAAAAGACAGGGTGTCTGGCTCTGAATTTCATTTTCAGCAACTCCTTAGCTTTCCTGTCCCTTCATCGTAGCCGCTGAGCTGTGCCTCGGTGGAGAAGGTGAGATGGACTTGCATAGAGTTATTCTTGTAGGGTAGTGTTTCTTTAAATGACAGGTGTCGATCCATTCGTGGGCCGCGAGGTCGATTTAGTGGCTTGTGACTGTCATTTTAGAAAGCGGAATAGAATAGAGGAGAAAGTGTCCGGCTGTGTTGAACATAATGGGGATACGTATCAATTTGGGGGTGACTCAGGTGAACACAGACGTCTACATGTGTACACATTACACACACATGTATACACACATGTAGACACATACACATACATCTGCCTAGGTATGCATGACTGGGCCGCGGTAGAAAGCGTGCTTCTTAGTGTGGCTTGCACTCGAACAGTGCGAGTGTCGTCGCTTTGGGCACACAGAACTGTGGCTTTATTCTTTCAGAGGTAAGACCTCCCTGCAGACGGTATTCTGCTTCTGCTCCCACAACTGAGTTGGTGCTGACAGACCCACATCTGTGAACACATGGAAAGGGACAGGCAGGGGCGTCCCGTGCTGGCCTCACCATTTCTTGGGGATCGGGCAGGGTCGTTGGGTGTCACAGCTCGGCACGTACTACGAAAGGTTCGGCCGAGGACACCCAGCCACCGCCCTGCCCCCCGGAACAGCTGACCTGTTTGCTGAAAAGCTCTGTTGGTCTTTTCTGTTCCAGGTGGTCATAGGTGACAAGGTTGTTCTGAACCCCGTCAACGCAGGCCAGCCCCTCCATGCCAGCAGCCATCAGCTGGTGGACAACCCGGGGTGCAACGAGGTAAGGGGGGCCGAGCTCCAGTTGAAGGGTGGGCGGAGGCCGCGGGGGCAGGCCTTGGGGCCGGGGCGCGTGGGTGCTGATAGCGCCTCCTGCTGCGATGTGGGCAGAGCGCCTGTTCTGCACCCAAGGGAGCCGAGGCCAGGTCAGGGCTACCGCAGGAGGCGGTGCAGCAGGCTAGTCATCGCCCCGGACTCACTTCCCTGAGCCTTGTGTCCCTGGGGATTGTTTTCCAACTCGCTAAGCCGGAGAGGGGCCCCTCTTACCAAGTTTTTCTGGCCAAAGGGGCACCTTTTTCTAATTACCTCTAACAAGAGCTAATTCCTGAGAAGGGCACACTGCAGGCCGTCGGCAGCCGGTCAGGCTGGCGTCCGGCTATCGGCCATCCGTCTACTTGGCTTCTCAGTTGGTAGATACAGGACGCAAGGACATTTACGTCACCCTGATGGTGACGTAAATGTCTGTCTCATGGTTGAGGACACAGCTCTGGAATCATAGACGTGGGTTCGGATCCCAAACCTGCCGACGCCCAGCCCTGTGGCTGCAGGACGGTCACCCCGTGACCCCGCGCGCCAGGTCTCCTGTCTCTGAAGTGGGCATGATGGTCGTCCCTGTGTTCCTATGCGCTCGTGGATGTCGGTCCGTGGCCCACCGCCACGCAGGTTTCGGTGTCCCCGTTGGTGACATTCACATCTAGAGTGTGTGCCCTGGACACTTCCTGGCCTTCGTCGTTCACCCCGCTTTGCGTCCGCGTTTTCACGGCGCCTCTACTCCCGGGCTGCGGAACGGGAGACTCGGAGTAAAAGGCGGTCGTGCTTCGGGAAGGTCAGGAGGCGCGGTGGCCGTGTCGGCCCAGCACACGGCGCTCGATCTGCGGCCGACGCGGACGGCCGTAGAAGTCGCAGCGCCCGCACCTTCGGGGCGTCGGCCTCCAGGGCTTGGGGGCCGGAAGACGCCGCCGTCCGAGGGGAACACGAAGGAACCCCTCCCATTCCTTTCGCAGGTCAACTCCGTCAACTGCAACACGAGCTGGAAAATCGTCCTCTTCATGAAGTGGAGTGACAACAAAGACGACATACTGAAGGGGGTGAGTCGCGGGCCCGACGGGCCGGGCGCGCGGGCCTCCTGTCGCGTGGCGGCTCGGCCCCCTCCCTAACGCCGCCTTCCCCGCTCCCGCGCGTGCCGGCTTCCAGGGCGACGTGGTGAGGCTGTTCCACGCCGAGCAGGAGAAGTTCCTCACGTGCGACGAGCACCGGAAGAAGCAGCACGTCTTCCTGAGGACCACCGGCCGCCAGTCGGCCACGTCGGCCACCAGCTCCAAAGCCCTGTGGGAAGTGGAGGTAAGGGCGAGGCAGATGCTGACTCCCACCTGGCCGCCTGGGATGACGGAGAGGGGCAAGTCCACGACACCGTGTCGGGGGTGCTGTGTGCGCCCGTGGAGGGCTTAACATCTACTCTGGAAGCAAACCAGCAACTGAGGCCGGACACTGCTGCCTCTGGGCCATCGAATCATCCGTTCCTTCTGTTTTTCTCTCTCTTGCTCGTTTATCTGTCACAACATGTTACCACGTGCCTACCCAGCAGATGCAGAGGGGCCTGCACGTTGGGGATGGGCTGGAAAGACGCACAGCCGGGCCGGAGGGTGCAGGTGGCACGAGGCACAGCCTCCGTGCTCTGCGCACCTGATTTCCCTTGGCTGCGTGCCTCCGCGTGGGACAGCTGGGCATGTGCTGCCGGCCCTTTCCAAAGTTGGTGCCACCGTCCCCCCCAGGCGGGCGGAGTGTCCCCGTGCTCCCACATCCTTGCCAGCTCTTGGCGTGGTCGTTCCTTCTCACGCTAGCCTTTTGAACAGGCGTCTCGCGTGACAGCGCACCGTGGTTTCAACCTGCGTGTCCCCTGCGGCTCGCAGTGTGGCTTTTCATGCGCTTATTTGCCGTTCATTTACGTTTTTCATGTTAAGGGAGTCTGCATAGAGTTTTTAATTTCCGCCCTCTCTCTCCCCTCCTCCTCCTTTCCACTCCATAGCATGTGCTTTTTAGCGTCTGCGTAGAGACACTGCCCGTCGCGCTCATCACGAACTCTTCTGAGCTAGAACATGGTCTTGAACTTGCCTTGATCATCGATGCCCCACTGTACCCACTACAGAGTTACAATCGCTTTCAGAACCATTTTTTATGTACGGTTTGGATATGGGTGCCAAAGAAAAAAGACTCTCTCTCCTCAAGTTAATAAATCATGCGAACTAGAGAAAAATTGAAATCAAAACTAGAGAAAACAAGGGTAGGAATGAACTGTTATCGTGAATTTAACGAGACGCTCCCATTGAGCTGTTTATTCTATAGGGTCCTTTTGCATAGTTGATGCCATTTCACAAACAATTCTGTACCCCGCCTCAGTCTGCTATCATAAATCAAAGAAACGTTACAAATGTCGGAACCCTACCAAAGTCACTGTGACCGACTTAGTCACCACAGGCGCCGTGACTCAGTCAGTCAGAAACGGATTGAAGTGAATTGAAGATGACAGCTTTTTGTGGAGAGTGTTTGAGGTATGGACTTCTGAAACGTTAGGCACTTAACTCAGAGCATCTTTTTTTTTTTTTTTCTTTTCTTCTGAGAAGGAACAGCTGTCTAATTCCTACTCCCTAAAAGATTGTTTCCTGCCAATTTTTTTTCTGGCTATTCTGGGAAAACATTGAATCTTTTCCATTTTAATTTTTTTCTCGAAGGTTTTAGAAACTTAAGTGCCCCTTTAAAGGAAGGGAGACAACAGCGTGTGTTTTATATTTGTAGGAGTTAGAGATCTGGGGTTTACATTATACATCGTCAGCTTATTGCCAGTCCAAAAGACACCCCATCTTTTCACACACGACGTGAGAACCTTGTAGCGGCCCCGTCCTGTCCCCTCCGGTCCCTGGTGAGCGCCATGATTTTACTGCTACATAAGTTATAAACTCCACAGTGCCTTTTTACTTATTTTGCCCCGTTTGAACAGTCGTTTATATTTTAAAAACAAGTAAAAACGAGGGGAGTCTGTGAACCATGGAGTTATCCTGCCCGCTCTTCACTCCTTTCTGTGGGTTCATTTCCATCTGGCGTCATTTTCCTCTGGCATAAACAGCTTCCGTACCACGTCCTGTCGTGCGGTCTGTCTGAGAACGCAGCTTTCTGTTTGTGTGTGAATGTCTTCATTTTGCCCTTGATTAAACAGTCTGTTTGTTTTATCTATGTGCGTATGTATTTATATTCTTATTGTTATTCCATGGGATGCCACACTATATATATGTGTGTGTGTGTGTGTGTGTGTGTGTATTTTTTTTCTTTTAAATTTTAAATTTATTGGGGTGACATTGGTTCAAATTATATAGGTTTCAAGTATACAGTTCAAAAGTACATCATCTGTATGTTCAACGCGCAAAGTCACGTTTTTCTTTTTTAAAACAACGGCTTCACGGAGATACAGGTCACGTACCACACAATTCAAGGCGTACACTTCAGTGGTTTTTAGTAGGTACCTGGAGTCGTGGAGCCATCGCCACAGTCACCTGCGGCGGTCACACCGCGTTTCTGCTCACCCTTGCTCCCCACCCTTGCTCCCCACTCCTCCCCAGCAGCCGCTCGTCTCTCCATGAACGTGGATTTCCTACGCTGGCCGTTTCCCAAGGGGTCCTTTGTGTCTGACTCGGTCACCTGGCGTGATGTTTTCCCAAGTTCATCTAGGTGGCCTCATGTATCACTACGTTGTTTTTTATTGCCAAACGAGATTTCATTGTATGGCTGGACTACGTTTTATGTATTATTCAGTGCCATTTGGGTTGTTTCCACTTTTTGGGCTCTTCTGAGGAGTGTTGCTACGACCACTTGTTTACACATTTTTGTAAGGACATATGTTTTCAGTGCCTCTTGGGGGAGGGGATTGTGGGTCACGTGGTAACTTGAGTTAGTTTATTTTCCCACCTGTGGTGTGTTAAGGCCCCATTTTCTCCACGTGGCCGTCATATACATAGGATATTTTCGTCGGACATAGACTTCTAGGTAGACAGTTCCTTCTTTCTGTGCTCAAGGTGTCATCTGTTGTCATCTCGTATGCATTGCTTCCGATGTGAATTCAGTGGTTTTCTACCTTTGTTCCTATATAGTGTCTTTTCTTTTTCAGGGCTGCTTTTAAGATTTTTCTGTTTCTGCTTTACACTGATCTAATTATGATGGTGCATGCGTCTGTGTGTGTGTGTATCCTACCTTGAGTTCACTGAGTTTCTTGACTCTGTGGGTATGTCTCAAAATTAGGAAAATTTGGGATCATCATTTCTCACATATTTGTCCTGGCTTCTCCAACCCACACAGACGTGCTGGATCATTATGTTGTCTGGCAGCTCGGCTGGTTTTTGCGTCACATTTTCCCGATTCTTGCCTGTCCGTCGCTTTATGATTATATACTGAACATTGCGAAGGACGTTTTTGTTGGATATAGAGTTCTAGGTTGGCAGTCTCTGCTGCCTTGCCGAGTGTCTGGATCCTGTTACCTGCCTTTAAAGACTACTGAGTTTTGTTTTGTCGGACAGTGAAGTGAGTCGTGGGTCCATTTGGTCCTTTGGAGGCTTGCTTTCCAGCTTCATTAGGTCAGCAGCATGGCAGCCTGTCTCAGGGCTGGGTTGGCCTTGCGTCCGAGGTGTGACCCTTTTGGCGTCTCTACTGCACGCCCAGGTGTGCGACGGACTCTCTCCTCTGTCTTGCCAGCACCAGTCCCACCCAGGGGAACGTAGCAGTGACAGCTCCCCCTTGTTCTATCCGTGGGGGTCCCACCTTACACACCTGCAGCTTGGTATCCAGCCAGAGATTCAAGGACACCCCCGTATAGATTTCTGGGGCTTTCTGTCTGGGTCACTCTGTGTTCTGCTCCCGCATATTTCAGCCACCTCAGTCTCCCTAAATTCCGATACGTCTCCTGAACTCAGTGGGACCAGTGTCCGCGCATGGGTTCTCCTTCCCAATGCCACCATCCCGAGAGGACCTTCAGGAGAAAGTCCGAACAGTCACGGAGCCGCCTCGTTTCCGGTTGCCCAGAGGCCAGCACTGGGCACCGCCCACCGTTCGGCGTCCAAGTCATTTCACGTACTTGTCCAGTTTCCTAGTTGTCTGTGACAAGTTCGTTGTTTTGCTGCGGTGACCAACTGTTTATGGCACCAGCCACTGGTGCCAGTTAATCCATCGTGGCCAGAAGTCGGAGCTACGTTTATTGTATGGTGCGCTGGCCCAGGCTCTGGGAGCTTCAGCTGCAGAGCACGGGCCTGTGTGTGTATCGGCCCGTGACTTCCATGCGTGGAATACTTTGACGGTTTTCCGTGAAATTTCTTTTTATTTGACGTGCCTTTTGTGGATGAATTTCAGAATCTTCTTCATTATGATTAAGGCTAATAGTCCGAAAACCATGGCATTTTTTTTTACTACCATCTTACATCAACGGGGAGACTCTTCTTTGGAGAAACAGCTTCCCCATGTCGAAATTTTGACATTACGTACGGTAGTCGCCATAGGTTTGTGGCAGAGATTGATGTGTTTTTTCAGCTCGTGAACATCCCTCCTGAACGCCGAGCTCTGTGTGATGTCTCAGGTTCGCTGCTGTCCTGCTGCGGCGACACTTCCTCCTGTTGACCGTCCCCTCTCTTCCAGGTCGTCCAACACGACCCGTGTCGGGGAGGAGCGGGGTATTGGAACAGCCTCTTCCGCTTCAAGCATCTTGCCACAGGGCATTACTTAGCAGCAGAGGTAAGTGGCGGTCCGGAGCTTTCCCCGTTCGAGGCCGACGCACTCCCCCGTCCGCCCGTACCTGTCACCGTCGGGCAGTCAGAGGCTCAGGGTCGTGCTCAGTCACCTTGCTTTTCCTTCCGCTTTAATGTTGCCTCTGCCTCCTTTCCCTGCGTAGAGACAAGAAAAGGTAACGGCGGTTACCGCCTCTCAGTACGGCACAGGGACTTCGACCAGGGTGTGGGGAGAGCGTCAGAAGCTCACGCCGTCCTGGGGATGTGTGGGCCGCACGGGGACTGTCCGTAACGACATTGTGCCGTGTATTTGAAAGTTGCTGAGAGAGTAGATTTTTTTTTTAAATGCTAATCTGGGTTGAGGATAATCTTTCTGTTTTGCTCACGCATCCTGCTCTTCCCATGTCTTACCTTCCAACCCTGCCCCTAACAAGAGTGACCGAGACACGGCTGTTGTGACACGTGGTATGTAAAGCCAGAAGCGTTAAGACGCACAAAGGCTTAGGCAACTTCATGAAGCTCTGTGGTTCTCAGAGCATTCGTGGAATGGACGTGTCTTCTCTTTCGTACGTGCAGGACTGTCCAAAACCAAAGAAATTAGCTTTACCTTAAATGTCTGTTACGGTGTTTGCGGAAAGGCAGGACTCACTCAGTGGTGATGGCAGGAGGAATTTACCTTCTAATTTTTGTATCAAATTAAGGAGCCGTCCTACTGTGTGATGGATATTGAGTTTTCCTCTGCTCTGCTGTAAGACGCACGATGAATATTCCTAACAGATTCTAGTCGTACGGCAAACGACACCCCTGTCGTCTGGCGCCACTGGCGAGACTGTGCAGATTTTCTAGGTGACGTGTGGGTGTCAGCACAGCTCCTGCAGCTGGCCCAGAGGAAGCCTGGATCTCAGGGTACCGAACCCCGGGGTGCCTGACACCCGTATGGATTGATGATTCTGAAATATTTTAGAACCAAAGATCAAGACAGTTGAAATTTAGAATGGAGCCCGGGGCCTGAGGGACCCAGCTAACCAGCTGTGAAGAGTGCTGACTCGTCCGCTGTGTTCTGAGGGGAATGTAGCTCTTGCCGGAGGCTATAGACTTGTTATTTATGACTAAGAATAAGCAGGATTATCGATGGCTGGATACTGGTCTTTCATTGATCTCAGGCTTTTAACTGTTGTTTTGCTGGTGATTCACTGTGTCTCTCCGTCTGTACTTGGGAGCCATCTCTCGGCGACTGGGCGATTGTCCTCTGTGTGTTGTACTTGTGTGACTTGTGTCAGTGTTGTGGCATGCTGGTTTCGTGAACAGGGAAGGGACACGTTTGTAGCTGTTGAAAGATGTCCCCAGGCCTTGACGTCTCCTGCAGGCGGGGCCAAGTCCTTGAGAAAGCGATGTGGATGTTTTAATTTCCTAACGATTCTTTTTCATCAGGTAGACCCTGACTTTGAGGAAGAGTGCCTGGAGTTTCAGCCCCCAGTAAGTATGGACAGGAGCCTTCTTGTCTTCGTCTGGTAGGGTGAGGCCAAATGTTCTGGAACTATCTAAGGAACTGCCACCGTGGTCATTGGTTGCTGGGGAAGGGAAGCCTGAGGCTGCCTTAAAAGAAGGCCTCGTCCTGGGCTTCCCCTGAGAGCAGTCCCGTTTCCTGTGTCCTGATTGGTTCAAGTGCCTGTCAGTCAAGGTGCTGTTTCTGTGTGCTTAGCTGAGGGGCGTCCAGCCCTGAGCTGCAGAAGGTCACAGCATTTCTGCGACTGCTCCCAGGTGGGAGGCGGTGACAGCCCCGTAGAAGTCGGCCTTTTACAAATGGACGACCTGTGGCTGTTGACCTCTATCCACACTTCATTCAGGATTTTCAGGGAGTGCGTGTGTGAGGTGGATAGTGTCACTGAGACTGTGGAATTAACACAGAAGGCACGGTGCACCTGACACCTGATTAGACAACGTCTCACCGTCTGTTCTTGCTCTCTGCAAAGTCGGAAATAGACCTTATGATGGGGTTTGGCGTTTTAATGCCAACTGGACCTTTCTTTGGAGGCTATATTGCCAATTAATGCAACATGGAGGCGCTCGGGGTTCAGGGTCCACAATTATGGGTTGACGAGCGCCTGGCTGAGTTACATGGAAATGATGGGCGTGAGTAAGGCCGTTCTCTTGTGGGGTGCGTCATTCGGGTGTAGGATTTTTAAAGAATCTAAACAGTTGCTGCTCCGTTTGACACTGCGTGTCCACGTGGTCATCTCAGTGGTGGATATGGCCGGTAGTCATGGAGGCATTCCTTTCTTTTCCCGTAAAATTTTGAAAGAATTGGAGGGACTTGACCTTCACGGAGGGAGCTGAGGCGGGCACCGCAGAATGCTGCTGTCTGGGGAGTGTGAGTTCCACAGTGACGCTGAGCCTCGGGTTGGGTTCGGCTGAGATGCTGGTCTAGCTCTGGAAGAAACGGGGTGATTCTAGCTGGGGCGCCCCGCCAGTAGCTCCTGGCTGGCGGGGAGGGGGACCCTTTTCCCCGCCTCTCGAGGGAGCACCCGAGGGCCCTGTGCTTCCTTTCGCCCTCCTCGCCCTCCCTTCTGGAGCCCATTTCGAAAGCTTACGTTGCACACGTACTGGAGGCTGGAACACACCGACCCGGTCCACCCTTCCGCCCGTGTGCGAGGCAGACTCCGCACGTCTCTGCAGAGCGTTCGCTGTGGTCCGCACGCGAAGGCTTGGATGGGCGGGGTGTCATTTTTCCTAAGACAATTCTCTTCAGAGAGAAAGAACTGCCTTGGGTGACTCAGACTGCTGTCTGAGGACACAGTAGGTGTCCCCTCTGCGGTTCTTTGAAGACGAGCTGTGACCTCTTGCAGGGAACCCTGTGCTCTCTGGGAACAACAGGGTCACCCTCCTGGCCTGTGGTGCGTGAGGAAAAGACCAGGTTCAAGTGGCAGGACCCCCGCTTGTGAGCCGTGCGACTCCCTCTCCGAGCCTCGGTCCCCTCATCTGGGGGAGCGGTGGGTGTGCCTGTCACAAGGAACAGGTAGGATATGCAAACCAGGTGGCCACGATAGGCGCCCCCTAAGCGGTAGGCGCCCCCCAGGCGGCGTCTTTGTAGGTCGCACAAGGTCGTTCGCATGTCTGTGCTGGCACATACCCCGGCTCGTCTGGGCCACAGGGAGCGAAGGTGGGTTCGATGACCCTCGTGTGGCAGGCGAGAATGCAGAATGGGTCCCGACGTGTCCCACATCTCGGGGGCTCCCGGAGTTCAGTCATCTTCCGGCTTTGTCACGCTCTCCGTGCCGGGGTGGCGGGCGTGCCACCAGGCTGGGTGCGGATCTTGACTGCTCTGCTCCGGCTACTCTGGCGGCTGGCGGCGGCTGGGTGGTGGCCTTGTATAGAGGAGGGGTCCATGGGCGGCTGTCCCCACGGCATGGGGCCAGCAGTCTGGCTTCCCACTCTGCGGGCAGCGTCGGGAGGCCCAGCCCCGCCACGCAGCCTCGGCGTGGCCCCAGGCGTGTGGGTCCGGGACAGGAAGCCTCATTCTGCTCTCTGTCCCCTGTTGTCCATACCCTGGCATCAGCGCCCGTGGGTTTTGCCTGGGGCCTCCCTCAGCCTCGTGGTGCTCGTCCCTCTAAACTCAGGGGGCCTGGAGCCACGGGCTCAATGCCAAGGGCAGCTCTGTGTGACGGCCTTTCGCACACGTGTGTCTCTCCCCCGACTAGTGGCAAACGCCGGCCACACACTGCCAGGCGGTGAGGACGCCGGCTCAGCCCCGGCCCCAGGCACAGGGGGCTCCGTGAGGTTTTCACTCTGCTCTGGACTTCGGGCAGGTCCCTGACGCTTACCCGCCAGCCGCAGCCGAGCCCGTGTCGCCAGCCGGAACCGGGCGGGGTTTGTGCAGGGTGTGGTGTGTGGGACACTGACAGGTGGCAGCTGTCAGAGGAGGACTTGTGTCTGCTGTCCTTCCCCTGAACCGAGCTCATGGGGGTGTCCAGGATGCTCCAGGTGACTCTTTGGTGGACGCGGAGGGACGAGTGCGGATCTGTCTGTGGGGAGCGCACGGCGTGAGGGGCGGTGGCCTCAAGAGGGAAGACACAGGTTTGGAGTATAAAAGAAGCATTTTCGTTTGTTCTTTTTTTTTAATGGACAAGTTGGGGCTGCGCATGGGCTCATGAAGAAGACTGTGGCCTGTCGCTCAAACTCAGCCCCTGGAATTAAATTCCCCGTGCTCTCTTCTTTGCCTGGGAGAGTTTGTTTCCTTTCTCCATCCCCTATGTGGGAAGGGGGCAAAGGAAGCGAGGTTTTCCCAGGAGAGGCAGGTGGCTGTTGTCACCTGCAGGGGCGTCAGGCCTTAAGCCCACAGAGCCGCGGCCTCCGGGCGCCTGCTGACAGCTTCCCAGGCACCCGGGCTCCGGTGCCGGGCCGCGTGACGGTTCCTGGGGGAGGCGTTCCCCGTGGGAGCGGACAGTGGCCGTCACTGAAGATTCTTCTCCGTTGCAGCCAGTCTCTGACGTGGCAGGAGAGGCCCTTGTCCCCACGTTGTCCTCAGCTGTCGCCCCCCCCGATTTATCGTGAACGTCGTCTTCCAGGGCTGGCATGGCTTCCCAGCTATGTTCCTCGGCCACGTCAGGGTCACGGCTCCCGAACGCTCGCGTCCAGCTCTCTTTGTTTGGCGTTTTTCTCCGGGGAAGTGGCTGCGTCATGTGACCGTCAGACAGTTTCCCCATCGGTTAACACAGCATCCTGTAGCCAAAGCCACGGGCGAGCTTCCGCCACGTGCTCCTGCCCCCAGCGGCTGCGGCGGACGTGGCTCTGTGGGGTTCTTTATTGCCGTGGACGTGGATTATCGTGATCTCATTGCTTCAGCACATTTTACCGCAACACGAGAAGGCAGGGCGTCGGCACTCGGCGCGGACGGCCGATCAGCCCCTCGCGTGCCTGCTCTGCAGCCGCGGCGCCTCTCCTGCCGGCCGCCGGCATCACAGGGTCCTCCCCGCTCCTGTGGGCTGCGCAGCGGGGGCGGCGAGTGAAGCGTCCGGCACGCGGCGTCCTTGACGGCCGACTTTTCCTCCTCAGGCGGACCCCGATCAGGACGCGTCTCGGAGCAGGCTGCGGAACGCCCAGGAGAAGATGCTGTACTCCCTGGTCTCCGTGCCCGAGGGCAGCGACATCTCCTCCATTTTCGAGCTCGACCCCACCACCCTACGCGGAGGTGACAGCCTTGTGCCGAGGTACGGTTCCAGCGTGGGTCATCCGCGGGGTGCGAGGCCTGGGCCTGCGGCGGGCGGTCCAGATCGTCACCACCTTTCTCCGCGTTTTTATACAGGGTTTGGTAAGAGGATCTGTTCTGGCTGCCGTTGGAATGGTGTCTGTTTTTTCTTTTTTGTGGGGGGGCGGGGCCGGCTCATCAATTGCAAAGTCTCAGTGGTTGGATGGGAAGTGCTGTGTTTAGGTAAACAAGCCAAACCCGAAGCTCAAGCAGCTTAGTACTTCCAGTTTTTTCTTTACTCCCTCCTTCCCAAAGCTGAGAGATCTCCCGGTGAATCGCATAAACAATTAAAAAGAAATTCTAGAAAACGGAATACTTGAAATCCACTGAGTGCAAAGTAAATTTTCTTTTAAGTATCAATAAGTCAGACCAATCTTCTTCGGCTATTGTATTAAATTTGACTCCTAGTTCTGATGAGAGTGCATCTGGGTCGGGGGGAATGACCAGAGTGAAAACAGGACAGGAGCACAGGTTTGCTCACCACATTGTCAGCGGTGTCACTGAGAGCGGGGACGTTGATGGACCGCTGCCTGCGTGCCATGCACAGCGCTGCGTGCTCTACGCGTGCCCCGAAATTTCATCTTCACACGTGCCTCTGCGAGACGGCTGTTCTTCCTGGCCCCTCTTACAGAGAAGCCGAGGCCCAGGGCGTGTAAGCAGCTTCTCACCAGCCAGCCAGTCCCATCACAGAGTCCCGGATTTCAGGTGTTTAAGCCAGATAGGTCGTCTGGGCCAGTCGGACCCTTCACGCCTTGGTTAGGTCGGCTCTCGCTGGCTGTCGTGGGTTTTCCGAAGGCCCCGTCTCTGACTATTACTTTGTGTTTTCATCTTCACGTCTGTCATTGCCGCGTACCTGCTCGGCCTGAGCCTGGCTGTGAAACTTCCCTGCGGCTTGTGTGCTGTCAGAATTAGAGGGGAACATTCTCTTGTTCTGGCTGCTGTTCCTGTCCCTCGGCGTGACAAGTGTCCGGCAGTGCCCACGTGGAGGAGAGTCTTACCATGCAGGAAGGCCTTCCGTAAACTGCTCGCGGCTTGTTACGCTCTGCTGGGTTGGAAGCCCCTTGAGAATCTGGGGAAAGCTTGAGACGGGCTTTGCATCCTCCAGGTTCATCCTGAATTGGATTGCCTTTTTAAATGGCAGACTTACTGAGATGTGATTTATATACCGTCTGCTGCACATATTCAAAGTGTTTAAGTCAGCGTTTTTGAATAGATGAGCAGAGCTGAGCGATCATAGTCGATTCAAGAACAGTGTCACCCCCTCGCCCCGCAGAAGGAGCCCCGTAGCCATCGCTGTCGCGGACCCCCAGCCTGGGACCAGTCTGCCGTCTCTGTCCATCGGCCTGTCCGGGACGTTTCGTACACATGGCGTCACACGTGGTCCGTTGTGACTGGCTTCTTTCACTTCGTTATTTTTTTGTGACATGTATTAGTATTTATTTTGTTTCACCGGCAAATAACATTCCATGATGTGGTCGTACCGCATGGTATTTATCCACTTATTAGTTGGCGGCGGTTGGGGCATGAGCCGCGTTTGGCCGTGATGGGCAGTGCTGCCGTGCACATTCGTATGTGTATTTTTGTGCAGAACAATGTTATATTTCTCTCCGGTCTGTACCCAGGAGTGGAATTATTCGCTGGGTCATGTGCAACTCTAAGTCTCACTTTTCAAGGACCTGCCGGACTGTTTTCCCCATGGCTGCACCGTGTCGCGCTCCCGCCCGCCGTGCGTGAGGTTCCGTTCCCTCCGCTTTCTCCCCCGCACTGCACTTGTGATGGCTTCTCTTTCCTTCTGTTTCCTTGTGAGCCATCCTCATCGAGGTGAGGCGAGATCTCACTGTGGTTTTGATCTGCATTTCTCTGGCGGCTAACGATGTCGATCAGCTTTTCCTGAGGCTGTTGGTCATTCGTATGTCATCTTTGGAGAGATGTTTATTCAGACCTTTTCTCATTATTTTTGCCCATTTAAAAACATCAGTTATTTGTCTTTTTGTTAGTGGATTTTAAGTGTTTTTTGTTCTGGGTGCAAATGCATTCTTCCATTTCATGGATGGTCTTTTCGCTTTCTTCACGCTGCCTCTCGAAGCACAGGTTTTTAATTTCGTCAGAGTCCAGTTTATTTTTTCTTTGATCGCTCATGCTTTTGGTTTCTTTCTTAAGTAAATTATTGCCTAATGCAAGGCCACAAAGCTGCGTTCTTCTCAGAGTTTTATAGTTCTGCTTTTTACACTTAAAGTCCATGATCCATTTTGAGACTATTTTTTAGTAAGGTTTGTAGTAGGGTAGTTTGCCTTTTAAAAGCTTCCTTCCTTGTTGACTGCCTGCTTGTTGGCTAGTTAGGTACAGGTCGGTAGAACCCAACTGCATTTCAGCTCAAATAACTTTCCATATGTCGTGCCCTCTATTCTGGAAGTGACTGAATGAGCTTTTTAGGTTTCTAGAAGACAGAGGAGTGATATTTATACTATTTGCTAAATGTTCTAGTTTGTAAGAGATACTAAACAACAGAGCCATGTGATTTAAAACATTGTGCATCAGAA